TCTCTTCCTGGAGCCGTCTCCAACTATGTCAGCGGGGGGGGGGGGGCGGCCGTTTTGCCGCCGGTTGGAAGCGCTTCCCTTGGGTCGATCAGGGACTTTGCGATGTCCCTGCGACCAGCCAGTTGTCTTCCCAATCACCGTCTCTTCGGGATGGTTTAGGTCCTGCCGGACCGTCCAGGGGCAAAAGTGTCATCGGCGGATTCAGACAGTCGAATCCGCACAATGTAATGTTGCAACGTTGGCTCCTCCTCCCCAAAGGTGCTTTTTCAAAAGACAACTGGGACTTTGTTTTTCTTTGAAGATGCTCTGCTTGTCATCCAAGAAGCTTCCTCAGTTCTGAACTGATGAGAAGCAAAATATCTTCAAGGAAAAACTGTCCAGTTGCCTTTGGTTAAATTATGAGGAAATAACTCCTCTGGAATAAATGGTTTTGATTGCATATATATACTATAACCCTACTGGAGAAAACATCTTGTCTAAGCAAACCTACTAAGGACATGCATAGAATGAGAGCATGAGTGAGATACAGATTTGTATCTTTACAAAGCAAAATATGTTCCCATTATTGTTACAAATAACATTTCTTGTCTTTCTGAGTACAGAAACAAAAGTAAAATAAGAAAGCCTTCTGCTTGGATTTAATTTGTCTCTATGAATTCAGGCATCAGACAGAACTTTCCCAAGTCTGATATGTTTCTGATTTCAACCTTGCAAACAGTATACTTAAGTTATCCATTCTTTATAGATCCCAACTCTCATTGAAGAATTAATTACTGTGGCCATTTGGAAGCAAAAAATCTTCCCTATACTATGCAAACTGGAGGATTTCAAACCAAAAAGCACCTTTCCCTTGTATTTAGTGGTATGTATGAAAAATGTTTTGAATCAGCTTTTGTATAATACTTGCTATTAGAACATTTCAAAGCTTCCTGTAAGATCTACTTGCCAAATGATGCTTCACATATTTATTTGTTAAAGTAATAATGTATATCTTATTTTTTGTAAGAGCTAGTGTGGTCAAGGTGTAGAGCAGTCTTAGCTGTGGAAGTTCATGTGTCTTTCTGCCTGTCTTTTTTTTCTCAACCTATCATAGAATTTTTACTGTGAAAAATTAGATGAAGGAGTGCAATATAACTCCTGCTGAGTTTCTCAAACAAAGAAGAATGTGAACCTTACAAACAAACAGTTCTACATTATGTTGCAGATAATTTTCAGTAAATGTATATAAAATATAATGTTGTCAAAACAAAAGCTGTGAGAAATTGAAGGAGAGCACCTCTTCAGATAATAGAAAATCATTTTACACTTTGGATTTCAATATATACTACATATTGGCTTGTTTTATACAAAGTAGAAAATGTTCAGTGCAGTCTGTTTGAATAGCACAAGCTTAGAACAAGGGAACAGTTCTGAATTCTTCTTCACACTGACAAAGAAGAGGAAGAAGCAATACTCACATTGTGTTTAGCTACAGTTTGTTAGGTTGTCTAATTCTTTTGCTGTTTTTAGTTCTATGCTTCCTTTTATCTCAAGAGGCCACACAAATGCAATATTTTTAATTTCTAATTCCATATTACCTTGTTTTCTGAGAATGGTAATATTTGTATTAATTTCTGATTTATCTCTGCTTATTCAGCTGCGACATGAAGCTGCAATTATTAATTTCTTGGAGACAGTATTTTTTCACAAGGTAGGCATGTTTCACAATGTAAATAAAAGTTTGAAATAAAAAATTCAGTTCATAATTTAGACCATTCTAGAAGAAACACAATTATCTGACTAAATTCTTAGTGCAGTAAGAATTAGAACTTCAATCTAGAAGACAGTTACTGGTATAAACCTATTTTCTTCTATTGTCTTAGTTATGTATATACCTTGCATGCCATCTTATTTAAATAGTAATAGGTCCATCTACTAGTACTTTCTTTTCAAATAGAATAACTTTTAAATACCTATTTGTATCTTGAGATGTTGGACTGGACAAATTCATACAATATTTCATATTTCATTCTGGAGATCCAAATTGACTCTAAATAATCCTAATAAATAGGAGAACCAATTATACCTTTCATATTTTTAATCTGGTGCTCCCTACACAATAAGGGAAAAAATGAGTATATACTTCCCTCCTTTGGAATCCCCTGATCTGAACTGATTTAATGTGCAAGGTAATTCCTCTCAGGTGCTTACTTCCTGTGGCATTTATTTGTTTGGAAACCATATTTCAAACTCAACAGCTTTGTTCATTTCCACCTAACCATGGCATAAACATAACCCTGCCATTATTTTTTCTGGCATTGCCTTCAGCCCATCTGCAGCACAAGAATGAGACTGGCATAAGGTACATTTAACTATATTGCTATTAAAATAGTATTTCTTCCATTGTTCTGATATAGCAAAGGCAGTCCTAACATGTATAAAATATATCTGTTACTTCAAGGGAAATTAGATGCCTCCAGTGGCTTAGAGAAGAGGCAGGGATTGGTAATGGGGACAGCAATATTCATTTCACATTGACTCAAGAATGGGTGGAGAAAGTTCAGCTCATCTGTGAGAAAAAGGTTGAAACTTTTAGATAATGTTAATAATTCCAAGTAATCGACTTCTATCCTTTTTGTTGAATTATCTAAATCCTATGATAATCTAGAAGTAAGGGACAAGATTCAAACTTGATGCATCTCTGGCCAAATTTCTTGCTGTTTTCTGTACCATTGTGGTCACCCCTGCAAATCTTTCTCAAATAATTGCTGTATGTAAACTTTCTGTATTAATGCAATTCCATTTTTCTTTACTATGGGTGAATCCATAATTCAGTCCTTAGCAATACAAAACCAGATAAGGTATTTTGCTTGCCTTTGGGAATACAAAATTTTGCATGCCTATCATGTGGGAAGCTATTTTAGATGGAGAAGGAATTTATTGTATCAAGTCATAAGATACAACATTATAATTGACAGATTGCTTAACTGAGAAACATTTTTCCAGAAAACCAATGAGTAGACTAATCTACCAGCTGAGATGAAATTAAAACAATTTAAGTGATCTTGACATTTGCCTTCATTTTGGAAGATGTTTCCATAAATTATAGCTTGTCTTCTTTGTATAGGAAATCTGTGAATCAGCAGAGGATACCATTCTGGATTTAATAGATTATACCCATAGGAAACTAACTCTGTTAGCAGCTCAAAGTGCCAATGGGAAGATACCATTTGAACAAAAGTTTCAACCTGAGGTTCTTGCCAGTCTTTCATCAATGCAGGTGAGCAAAGGATATTATCTCTTACTCCTAGGCAGCACTCTAGGTAAAGGGAAAATATAAGATGTAATTGGACACAGTTGCAAATTGTTGGGTAGTCATGAAAGAAAGTTTAAATCAAATTTCTTCATTCTGTGGTCACTTGTGAATACACAGAAATGTCACAATCAATTAGTGTTCTTAAGAGAGAGTAACACAGCTCTCTTCCGTCAAATTAACAGTATCTGTGTCTTATCTTCCACCAATTGAAATTGGCTGGCCTCAAACTTTCTAGTGTCCAATTTCCTAACATATCCATTGTATTTACATCCAATTGTTTATACAGTTTGTTAACTTTTCTGACAATTATATTCTTTCTGCTTGGCATTTTTCTGGCTTTGATCTTCCCTCCCAAGATAGATTACTCTCCTAGAGAAATATTATCTTATGTTTGGGTCACATCCCAAATAAAGACATTACACAATGTCACTATTCCATTTATTATATTTATTTTCTCATTTTTTCTCGATTGTAATATTGTGTATTTGTTTACCACAAATAGCCAATCAACAGCAATAATATTTGTTTCCTCATACAATTTAATCAGCACTTTACATTTTTCTTATGAAGTTATCTTGGACTTAGGGCTTTTAGCAACACAGTTGAGGATCATCACACTCCAGACTGCATGGTTCTTAAACTTTTAGCAACACATATTTTTTCACAACTAAGAACGTGCTTGGGGCCATCTAAACTCAAAATCAGACCATATATTTCTTCAACTCTCATGAAAAGAACAGTCAGCCTATTACCATGCAACCTCCTGGGTATTTAGATTTTGGGGGCAAATTGATATGGAAAAACAGTATTGACATTAAAAGAGTTTTTCTAGGAAAACCTTTTCAGAATTCAGAGGCCACTGCCATGGCTGCCCTCCAAATGTCCAGCCATTTCTTAAAATTTTAGGAACCTCAGATTTTCATATCTAGAAGGATTGTATTAAGGATCTTTTATTCTTTTCAGGAACTAAAGAAGCAAGCTGAAATGATGGAGTTTGAGATCTCACTGAGAGCTCTTTCAGTGTTCCGTTTCATTACTGATGGGATAGAGAGGTATGTTAACTTTCCATAAAAGAAATAAGGCAGTTGGGAAAGATAATCTTTTCAATAGAAGAGAGACAGGGCTAAACTATTGAGTCCTTGGAACTCTCTGAGCTTCATTGTTTGCTTATGGAGCTTTTTTTACATTACAAGCTAACATCATCACTGTTAGTGAGTGTGGGGTTTATTCCCTACTTTCATACAGTAGTTTGTCCTGCCAATGTTGGTGGAGGTATGGTTTTCTCCTTGGTAGGTTATTTGTTTGTCTGGGTTTAATCCATGCTTATCTGCGTGTTGGCTGCTGGAAGGGATGTGTCCTGGTCTTTTTTTCTATTTTAACTTTTTGTTATGTCCTTTGAATGGTATATAAATATGGTTTATTTGTATGTACTTATTGATAGCTGATTCATCTGAATGCCAAGCTTCTAGGAATTCCCTAGTGTTTTGGGGTTTGGCTTGGTCCAGGATGCTTGCAGTTTCTCAGCTGAAATTGTTGTTGAGTCTGTCCATATGAGATTAAGAAGTTTTCATAATGTCTTCTGACTGCTAGTTGACATTCATGGACACGCTCTGCTAGTCTTCTGCCTGACTGTTATACA